GACGTATTGAAACAGAAATGCAAGAATTTGACACTTTGATAACTAATTATTCACTAAGTTATCAATAAATAAACAATTTATAATTTTTTTAAACAATTAAAATAACACTGTTAGATAGCAAATCGATCATACGTATCTGTAAAATTGATGATTATGATTGTCACTAATTTGCTGATTTTTAAACCGCTAAAAAAGAAATTTGCAAATCTGTTTTTTAATTATTATTCAAAATTAGAGAGCAACATTAATCATCTTTTATTTGAATAACATTCTTCTAACTACAAGCGATTTTTTCATGTAAAAATTTTCCATAATTTTATTGTAAAAGTGGCGTAATTTGATTGTTAAATTGTATAACTTATAACTTTGAAAGGCGATTTTTCCTCGAGATGTAATTTATGTTAAAAAATTCATCATTTCAAGTTTAATTTTTTAAATCGCATAATTGCAATTTCGATCGAGCCATTTTGCGATAAAACATGTACAAAATTTGCGTCAATAACAAAAATAGCGTTGTAGGGGCTACCAAGCGTAGAAAGGAGCCCATTTCGCATGTATAAATTCGCTCGTCGCTGCGGCAAGAGGACTCACTTTCCTACCTTGCTTAGCAGCGCGAGCACTATTGTAGAAATAAAGCCTCAGCTATTTCCTGAGACGAATTTCTTGTTTAGTGGTTAGCCTGTTAAACTCTCATTCCTCAGATCTCTAAGCGCTCAACTCATGAGACTATCTCTCTCATGAGAAAAAAGCAGCCTTAGATATCTTCCCTCTTGAAAGATATTTGCTGTTGAGAAATTAAATTGAGCAGTGATCGCGCCGCTGTCGGGCCTCTCCCCGATAGATGCGATTGCTCTCAATTGCATTTCGAAACAACTCATCGAGTTGTAAGCCTCGTGGTTTGCTACTCGAAAGATTTTCTTTTATTACTTAGTTTACGCGCGTGTCAACTTCTTGCTTTTCTCGGAGACGTATTTGCGAATTCAATATAAAGAGTCCGAACTATTATTTTCATAACGCGAGATAGATTCACACGTTACAGCGTCATCAAGTAGAAAGCCTGATCTATAGAGCTCGCACGAAATTCTCTCTTGACAAGAGGACGCGGATGGACGATCAGCTAATGCCACTTAGCTCACACTGACGCGCTTCTTTACCGCTTCGAAACCTCGCGCATTTAGACCTCTCAAGATCTGCCCGACCGATGTGCACCACCCTTACATCCCCTCACACACTAACCGACCTTCCAAGTACCGAGAGGCGATCACGGAAAGCGGCAACGGGACGCGACATTGACGTAGGAGTCGAGCGGCGGCCATGTTGCAACGCGATCGACAACGAGCTTGGGTCAGAGTTAGAGCGGAAGAAGTGAGAGCGTGAGTGCGAGCGAGTCAACCGAGGAGGGGCGCGAGAGAGTACTCGTATAGGTGCGAGTGAGACAACTGATAGAGCACGCGCAAGTTGGGATACGGATGCAAATAGAGATGACCGGTAGGACTAGGATGCGTTAGAGGACAAAGGACAGACTGAGAGTTACGATAAACCGATTGGCGTGTGCACTCTTAACTAGCCAATAATAAAGAAGATAGGGGTACAATAATGAATGGAGTAAAACCGACGCTATCTAAGTGCCAAGTAGCGGAATTGCGCGCAATAAAGAATTATTAAAATAGATGGCGCTGATGATCGGGTTGACGACACGTTCGACCAATAAGATAATACTGCAAGAAAAAAAGAAGAGGTAATCGAGAAGACGTGACACTACGCCGGGCTAGTCGTGGTTTATTTTCCTAGAGGCCGCAGCCGAGGACAGACAGATCCAAGGAGGAGTTGCCGTATAGTGCGAATAGTGCAGTGTGAACGAGAGAAAAAAACGAATGAATGAGAGACGAGAGCCCAGCGGACCTCGATATGTGCTCAACGCGAGTAAGTACGTTTTTTTCAATCTAAATCGCGGACATGAGTGTGAAAATTAGTGTAGGCTTCGCGGACCCGCGAAAAGCTTCGACTGACCTTCGGCTAACCCTCAGTGCATGAACAGTGTTGCCATTGTTCTCTAGCGTTCCATGACCGACCAACCGACCTGACCTTTATCCATCGTAAGTGCGGGTTTCAATCGCGTTACGATATGTCTTACGAAAAGCTTTTGAAGAGTTAATCTTTTTTCGATGGGAGTCCAACCAATTCTCGGCCAAATTAACTGGAAAATACGAGGAGCCATTTCGAGTAAAGAGATGACTATCGGATAATGTGTACATCCTAGAAAATATGACAGGTAAGGAAATAGGAAAAGCCCATGTTACACAGATGAAGCCCTATGATGTAGGAATGCCTGACCGATACTAAGTGACCTAACAATGACCTAACGCGTAGCTAGACCATAGAGCACCAGGAAGTAAACCATCAGAGTAGAATTAATAAGTAAGCGTAAGAATAGAATTAATGAATAAAGCCTAAGAGTAGTGATAATGATTAGAACACAAGACTCTAATGTTAACAAATATACCATAAAACCACCTCCCGGAAACAGCACGACTAGCTCACAAACTAGAAAGTGTACAACCTTTCCAGTTTAAGGGGAGGAGGGATAGGCTACTATAAGAATTCACGTATTAATGGAATTAACTAGACAAACACCGCACGATTGGTATTGGCTAACAACAACTATAACTAATCGAGTCCCCATTGATCAAAACTTAGACCTTTTAATTTACAGCTACAAGATGCTGCTAAAATTCGGGACGAGAGCTAAAAGCCCACCCCGCTATCAACCGGAACTAGAATTCCGACCTACAATTGCCCGACCTGCCAAACCAGCCACGTAGACCGTGATACCGCAGCCGCATTCAATTACCTCAGACACGCACAGTGACTTCCATCCCCGCCGTTCGACTAATATCTATTGACTAACGACCATAATAGCATCGACTAACGACCATCCCCGGCCGAGAACAGAGTTTCCCTCCGAGAGTTAGCTTCCTCTCCAACCTGCAGCATCACCTCCTATATACTATAAATAGAAGAGAAGGTTGCGGTGTGCCTTACGAACAATTTGTGTCCTGGAAAAAGGGAAATAGCGTCGGCGTAGATCAAACCGCGTTGTCTAATAAATAATGGAACGGGAATATTAGTTTTGATAAAGCAAATTGGTATCGCCTGGAATAATAGATATGTTAATAGCATTGGACGGAATTATTGAGTAGCTTAATCTTGACAGACAATAGGCCTAACGCTTAGCAACACAAAGGAATTTAGTATCGGTTGACCTTGGGCGGAATAATAATAGCAGAGTATAGCGATAGTCAGACGTCCGTAATAGCTTGAAATTGCCGTATCTTGATCTCGGGACAGACTGTTTAACCAGACTTTGGCTTAGTTTTAATATATTGGTTTTCCTTATTAATTAGCGTTTTTTCTCTTTGCGTAACCTGTACCCTACCTCTACCCCGTAGCTTTCGTAATAGCACCGCCGCGTAGGAGGGGCAGGCAAGAGCGTACATCCGTACAGCAAGATCGCAATCGTGCGCCACCACAAACCAGCACTCTAACTACACATCGCAACGCTGTCTGCTAACAAGGTGACCTTGGAGGAGCCATTCCGAATACCTGCTTCTGAGCAAGATTCCGCTCACCGACGCATCTATTTTGGACCTGCTAGCCGAGCAGCGGACTCCCTTTTATATCTCTGTTAACCTCATCGTCGCTCGTTCAATAGCTCTTTCGCAACTCCCACTCTCGGCATAATAATCACAGGTGGCCGACACGCGCCAAGGACGAGACAATAGGATAACCATCGGGAGGTCAACAGGAAGCAGCAGCAGCGGTAGCGGCAATAGCAGCAGCCATAGCCGCAGCCATCATCAGCGGCATGCGCAGCTCGCAGCTTGCTTAATCTTTTGGTCCCCCTCTCCCTCTCTTGTCCCTTACGTGTGCGCGTACTCGAGTCAGCGAACTAGTCGATCCCAGTTTGCAGCGCTACTTTTTTTTCTCACGTAAGAATGATGGCTGGCGCTCAACATACAATAAAGAAGCTTCATTCGGATTTCAACTCTTGACCCGACCGAGACGCCCCCCCGTGTACGTGCGCGCACGCGCTCGCATAAGGAAATCCCTACTAATATTTTCTTGTCACCTCTCCAGCGTCACTCTTGAGCAATGAATTTTCTTGCTTCTTATTTAGACTATCATGTGTTAGATTTGAGGTGAGGGCAAAGTTAAAATAGTTTTGGCAAATAATAAATTCAATATTTATTATTTTAATTGGGCTTACATAATTATATTCTAAGATTACTTCGCTTATATGGTAGCAGTTTCCATACATTATACAAATAATTAAACCTACTTTCAAATTTGGACAACACTTATAATATCTATTTAGCGTAGAATCAGGCGAGTTCTTTTTAGAAATAAGATTAAGTTTTTATAAGGATGGAGGCTTGTAATATGCGCAGTTCTAACCAAACCAGTAATATCAATATTCATAATCTTTGGGACCTATAGAACCTTATATAACCCCAGATTCTTCAATCTCAATTTTCATAATTATGGTGCTCTGTAACCTGCGAGATCATAGTCTCAGCTTTAAAATCCCAATTTCCAAAATTCTTCATCTCTCTAACTTGCGAGACTATACTTGCAGAACTTCAACTCCAAATTCAATTATTGTCCTCAAATTCTGTCGCCTGTGCATCTAACATTAATTTCTGTCACCTAAAAAGTTATTACCACATTTTTAAACTGTCATTTTCACATTTATCGAGTTCGGTATCCTGCGACGGTACAATCCTCAATCCTTAGCCCTAATTACCACAATCTACGAACCCTTAAACTGATAAGACTATAATTTCGTACCTTTAAACTTTAATTCCTGTCATCCCAAGTCTTCCAAGCTAAGAGCTAATCAACCCAAGCCCTTAACTCCAAAGTACATAACATTCCTGTAGAATGAAATATTTATTGATGTGTTCTGTTAGAACATCAACAAAATAAATATAATAATCATGTCTTTTTAACCGTATATCCAGTACACATTTATTCACAGCTACTTTATCAATAATTATACTACATTACATATTTCTAATTTCCTATAGATAATTCAAAATTTTATATCTGAATTTATTGCAGAATCATAATGATTCACGCATAGAGGATATTAAAGTAGAATTATTTTCCACTTGTTTAAGTCAATATTATAGAATCTAACGTAAGTCAGGATTATCGTTGATTTGTTTCTTGATTCGTAATAATATAGATGTAAACCATTGATCTAAACGTGAAATTGAATCATATTCTTTAACTGCTTCAGTAAATCCTTCAGCATTCTGTTCTTCTAAATTTTCAATTAGTACCTGCAACAAAAATAAATAATCAATTTGTATTGAGTAACAATTGTAAAGTAAAAATATATTAAGTAAAAATTTAATGAAGTATTTAGATTTTATAACAGTTGATATGAGAATATAAAAGACATTAGCACTACTATGCTAGTAATAAATAATAATATATATAATATTAATATACTCATGTAATACAAAATAAGTCAAAAAGATTATTTTTTGTGTTTTGCATACCTATCACATTGTTTTTTTAACATAATATTTGAAAAGGGAATTAATACTCATATTGTTATATGGACGTATTCAAATACTGACTTTTTCATTTGTCTATCTCCATTTAAAAAAAAGTAATATCATCATTGACCTTATTCAAGAAAACCTCTCCTCCTGAAATGCCTTTCTTCTTCTTTAGATTTGTGCATATTAAGAATAAGTATGAGGTATATAGGGTGTCCTATTTTACCTCGCCCAGATAGATTTTTGAAAAGGGTTAGAGTTAGTTAAAATATTTCAGACAAAAGTTGCTGGATTTAAAGGGGGATAAAAGATAGTGACTTTGTGACGGGGCCCTAACTAAAATAGCCGGCCCTGTCTGGCTCACTCTCGCGCTCTCTCTCTCTCTCTCTCTCTCTCTCTCTCTCTCTCTCTCGCAGCCTCGCTTTTTCGCTGTTGCCCTGGCGAGCGTTTGAAAGTTAAGAACCGATACCGATGGTCGCACCGCTTTATTTCAGGGCCAATACCTGAGCAGGGCATCGTCATTAGGAGCCAATTAGGAGCGAGAGCGGCTGCGGCAAGAAGAAGAGAGAGAGATTGACGCGTCGCGAGTAGAGAGAGAGCGAGCGTGAGTAACCCGCGGCGATCCGCTCTCGAGAGCGAAGTCACCGGCGTTGCTCGAGCCGGCGTGCGAACGGTTAGTGGAGATAGTTCGAGCAGCGATCTTGAGATAGACGGATCAATTTGACGGCCGAGCGTGCGCACATGAGAGAGAGAACTGAACAGTCAGGGCAAGACAAAGAAGTCAGACGACGTCGAGCAGAGTACAGAGTTGGAGAGGATGTCCAACGACCCTTGGAGCATCGTGGAATCCATCCGAGCCTGTCACAAGCCTGCTAGCAGTTTCTGCAGTATTTCCTGCCAACAGCCGAATTAGCAGCATCGCCTGCCAGCAGCACTAGCAGCGATTCCTGCCAGCAGCTTCACCAGGTCAGGTCGTCTTTCTCTCTCTATTTGCGAGTGCGTTGAAGTGCTCGCGACCTTCAGCGAGCACGGCGAAATTAATGAATAGAACGAGTTCCTCTTTTATAATCCTCTCAAACTATTGTACCGTGCCCCGTGTGATTGTCTGTACGAGCGCAGGCACGCGGCCGTCGAGGACGACGCGTGAACTCACGTGGTCGCTCTTTTATTATTAAGCGTCTACGAATAAATATTGTTAACGGTTATCGGGAGTGATTATTGTGCACATCCGTCATTCCTTTCCTCTCAATCCGAAGCCCAAAACGTCAATTTAGTGATGAGGCCCGTCGTTCAGAGGAGCGAAAGAGCCTCCCTTACCTTTCCCCTTTTCAAATAATTTGTGATACGGCGCTTGGGCACGGGCCCTTGCACGGCTCGTGAGAATTATTTTTCCCCAAAGCTCGTTAAATTTTAATCATTAGTTTCACATGGCATCCCTTGTGGGGAAAGCTGAAAAATTGGCAATTTTTGGGCTGAGAGGAACGGAGTGAGGATTGAAACGCACTTGTTAAATTTCAAAATCGAGGAATTTGAGAGGACAAAAACTGGGTAGAAAGGGCGCGTCGAAGCCGCGCGAAGGTCGAACAGCGTAGGTTAGCGCTTGTTGTTGTGAGCCGCGAGCGGTCGAATAGTGCCCGTTAGTAACCCGAGCGGTTTGTTTACATTCACACAGGCTGGCTGCGCCTTCGATACGAGGCAAGCTAAGAGCTGCGCGGGCCGTCGCAATACCGAGTTTGAATGTGAACAATTGTTGTCTTTTATTATACTTTGATAGCAAACATCACTGCTTACTGTCGTCGCTGCGCTTGGGCATGGACGAGTGTGCTTTCGGACTAGTGTTCTGAAGATCACAAATTGTCGCTGACTGTTTTTGTTGTGAAGCATAAAGCCGAGTCGAGTAGTATTGTTGCTAAGTGGATTATCGCTGAATAGTTGACACATCTTTGCCCGAGAGCCCGGCTAATGTGCATGTTATGAAATTTGACTCTGTCGTCTAGTGTTTGTTGCGAGAAAGAGGGAATTGTAGGACGCAGGGTAAACACTTGGCGTAAATCCGCCGAATGTACCTAGTGAGAGGAGGAATTGCGTTAATCCGCAACCTTCTCGAATAGAGTTTTACATAGCCCGACTAGAGGTGCATAAATTCGCATCTGAGTAATTGTAGAAAGCGCTTGTTGTGTAGGGTCAGCGTATCTGTACCGAAAGGTTTTGGTCGCGTTATTGCAGGTGTAGGTCACGGATCTTGCCGTTGACTCGCGTCAGGGACGGATCATTTGCGCTGACAAGTGTCGTAGAACGGTGACGTCATGATGCCGCCCCCGCGACCGATAAATCCCGTGATGCGCGTGACTTTGAAGGATCGAGACGTACGAGCGCTGAAGCGGCGCATCACCGTGACCCCACTGGCTGAGCTTATGGCTTTGTTACAGAGGAGCCAATTAAGCGTGAGTGGCACATACGAGGACATGCAGGACCACATGTTGCGATATATGATCGCGCGCGAGAGATCTGAGTGGAATTTGCCATTAACTCTTGGAAACTTCGTGTTGGGCTTCATCCCAGAGCCGCCCGGAAATATTCTCCATGAGGAATCGCGGGAAATCGCGATGACCGGAATGGTGGATGGCGAGGGGTCAGGAGACGGGCCAACGGTAAGCCCGGTAGAGCCCGCGAGGAGTCGTGACCGACGGCGCGTGGCGTCGCAACGCGTATAACCGCGTCGCGCAGCAGGGATTAGCCGAGGGGCCGGACTTAGTTCGGGTGACCGACGAACAGGAAACGACGAGTTGATGCCCGCGGATGGAACGTTGGCGACGAGCAGCGAAGAGGAGCCGGCTTAAAATCCCGGTGTCCGGTATTATGGACAAGAGAATGAGCCTGGCATCCTAGGTCAGGTGTGGGGCGCGTTTGCATAGTTGCCGCGCTTAGTGATACGTCGAGAGGCCGAGAAGCCCTGTCTGGTAGCGCCAATAACCTTTATCGAGTGTAACAGGCCGCGATAGGAGTGCAAGCCGATGGGCGAGCGCAAAGGGCCTCCGCCGTGCCGATGGCTGCTCGAGCCTCGGAGACGCGATCGCCGAGTAAAGCGCCGTCCCCCTGTACTATTAACGAAGCGGAGTCGGAGGGAGAAGACGAGCAGGAATTATTCTTGGATGAAGAAGTGAGTGAGGCCACTAGCAAAGTCCCGATTAAGGGGGTATCCCTCAATAGATCGATGAAAAAAGTCTTTTTTTTTTTTGCATAGATCGAAAATACATCATTTCAAGAATGTGCTGTTAAAATATTGGACCGAAATTCAGAGCAGTTCAGCTGCTATAGCTATTTTCGTATAGAAACTCTGGCGCGCAGAGTAGGTAGGCAGCTGCGCGCTCGAGCGGCAAGGCGCCCCGCTGGGCGGTGCGCTGCAGTTCGCTTCCTACTTATAATATACAATGGATTAGATGTTTCTCGATCTTCCTTTGTATAAACTGTACGTTCGTTTACAGGGTCAGGCTAGGTGTAGCATAGTAGGTACAAAGATTTCTGGGGAAAGGTAGGGATTCGTTTGGGAGACCGCTACTACAGTTTGCTCAGTTTTATTTCGGCTTTTGGGTAGTGAGCATCGTGTTTCTAGTTTTCACAATTTGAAAATGAGTACTAGTTATCCTAAGTGCGAAAAAGAAGAAGGCTATCGTGCCGCAAAGAGACGAAGATCTTTCCGCAGTAATCAGTTCTCAACTGAAGAAGGCGAGCAAGTAGGATGTTTATGAGTATCCAGCTCCACTACACCCAGATGTACAAAAACATTTAATCCCGATTTATCAAGTTTTATCGAAAGATGATTTATTGAAAAGATGCTTAGGTGGCTACACGCAAAATGCAAACGAAAGTTTCAACTCAGTCATTTGGCGATTAGCTCCGAAGCATTTACACTGTGGGCCAAAAACTGTTGAAATTGCCGCTCATACAGCTGCTGTACTCTTCAATGACGGATTCTATGGTGTACTAAGAATTATGAAATCGCTGCAGTTCAAGATCGGGTTATCCGCAGCCAACTACGCGAAGAGCGCAGACGATGAGCGCGTGAAGCGTCAAGAAATCCGCAGCCAAGAATCCACAAAAGCAGCTAGGACTGCTAAAAAACTAAAAGCTGCGAAGTCAAATCAACAGTATGATGCAGAAGAAGGTATCCTTTATGGTGCTGGTATTGCTGATTGAGTGAAAACCAATTTTATTCGATGTGAGTATGAAAAAAAATGCCGTTTTCGCCTGCCGCAAACTTTAAACGCGTTTATCTCCGAATCATTTTTTTTCGATTTGTCGATTTGGCGGGCGCTCTTACTCAGCGAATTTTCAACTTAAAAAAAAAAAAAATACCATTTGAACGGAAATTAAATAATCTCGTCGATGTACCTATAAAATTCTGTCAAATATTGTTTGTTAACCGCTTTTTTGCATAAACAATAAAAAAAAAATATATTTTTTTTTTTAAAAGTCCGCCATTTTGTTAAATAATTTTTCCGAGCAATAAATTTAGGTTCATGTCTAATAAATATCTGAATATAATAATATCTTAAATATGTCTAATGAAACTAAAAAAATGTTTTTTGTATGTTTCAGAGTGATTGGAAAGCCAGGATTTGAACCGCCAAAAAGGAAAAAAAAAAAAGTTTATAACTTTGAACGAGTACTGCACATTTATTTATTACAATATTTCTCTAAAAAAAATTTTTTCTAATTTGTTAAAATTTCAATAAAATACAGTCTAAATTTCATGAAAAAATATTGAATAGTTT